TTTCCTTTCCTTTCCTTCTTTCTTTCTTTCCCCCGGCTTTATTGAAACTAATAAACATCAAGTCTATTGTCTTACTAAGGAAGGAAACTGCACGAAATTATCAAAGCAAAACAAAGCATTTCAACAATCAAATCCACTGGCCCTGAGTGTCAAGTTATTGATCTTTTTGAAAAATAGACGACGCGAACTGATGTAAACCGTATTTAAAATTACTTAGCAATGCCTAATTTACTTGCCATGCAAACATAACATAGAAGAATAATTAAAAACTATTTGTAAGACTTCTTCAAAATTCTGACAAATTTTCTTCAAGTGCAGTTTGTATTAAAACATTAATACGTTCATTTTGACGACCGCGATAATTGTTTATAAATGGCTTAGAATTGAACAATTATTCACACAGGACGTTTTCAAAAGCCTTGTCCAAGTAAAGTAGTTTTCTTTAGACTCTAAATTCAATKATTTCCTTCGTCGTTGTTATGTTATTTAGCGTCTGTTATAGAAWTGAAAGAAAGTTTGCTGGAGATGTCAGTCAGGTGTATCCGTACCAGAACCAATGATCGGGAAAAAATCAAGGCACCTTTTTGAGCTCATTGTGCAGATTATTAAATTGACTGATTAAATAAGCGCCCCGGCTTGCTTTTATCATAATAAGTGTTATTAAGTTTTCATGTTGAGTATTTTGATTCAAAAAAAGTTGATAGCTTTGACGCTAACTCGCAAACTATCTTCGTTTTTTCTTGTTGTTGTCGTTTTTTCTTGTTTTTTTTTTTTTTTKTTTTTTTCACCCATTTTGTCTACTAATCATCCAAGGCCGTGAAATATTCGATAAGCCTTATTTTGAGCAAGCCCTTATGTATATCACTTAGGGGATGAAGAATGCTTCTTAGTAGTTAAGCAATATAAGACGGACGAAAGCCTAGATTTGGATGAAAAGTTTGGCTTATTATAAATATTGGGAGATTGAGAAGATGATTGCAGGTTGTAGTAGGGGGTCATCGAGGATTYGTGCGAGGGAAAGAAAAGATGGTGCAGTGCAGTGCAGTGATGGATGGATGTCAAAAGACCAGTTTTGTATTTGTTTAAAACTAGCACACATGTTAATGGCTAATAAGGGATATTCAAACAATAAAATACTCTTAACTCTTCAATAGCTCCTGTGCAGAATCTTAAGACAAGTCTCTTATAATACACAAACTAAACATCTCCAAAGCCAGACTCCTGACAACCGATTTTACAAAATCTACTTTAAAGTCAAGTGGCCTGAGAGCTTTCTTTGAATGCATGACGGAAATTTGATTGAAAAGAAAGAGCTTTACACCAAAGTCGGACATTCTCGGCAATGTAACACAGACTGTTGCTCGTAGCAACCAACTAATTGTAAAAAGCACCTTAAAAGTTGTAGTAATAGTCATTTTGAAAAGACATTASCTCTTTGTCAATGAAATGAGCTTGAGTTATACGGGGGGAAAGCACGTAACACCAATTAATATTGAATCAAAAACTATACGATTTACGTAAAAAATTTCCATGGCTATTAGTTGAATGAAATTACAATTCTCTATTTGTTTTTCGATTCCTAGATTCGGCATCAAACGTGAGTAGGGTTTGTTGGTCCCTACTCTGATTCAAGGTCTAATTTTTCTCCGGTTTTCCTCCTTCCACAAACCTAGCACGACAAATTTGAATTCAATCTGTAAGTCAAAGAGTAAGCCGTGCCCTGGCTTAGATAAGCCCAGAGGTTGTTTCAGTGTTTGTAGGTAAAAAATGTAGGTACACTTTGGTAACTAGCAGTCAAAAGTTGCAAATAACAGTTAATAATCTTATTCTTAAAGTTTGTTTGGCAAATGACATGTCAACAGAGGAAAAGAGAAGAGTACACACATATTAAGAAGGTTATTTGAACGCTGTAAAAAACTATTAAATCAGAACTGCAAACAAAGATGGGAAGTTATAATGGATCTTACATTAGACGAAAGGTTTGCAGTGTTGTTTATTTGGATTAGTTTTTCCCTTTTGAATATAAAATTCATTTACTAAGGGACTGAATTCAAAGCAATAAAACGAGTTTTGAATTACTTTTTTTCGTTTAAATAAATTCTTTTAGTCTTTTTCGTCTCAAAAATGAATATTAGTTGTAAGCTTCTTTTCCCTTCCCCTTTCTTTC